CTGAGTTTTCGACCAAAGACGGCATGTGTTCAAAATATCATATAAATCATAGAATACAGATATGCCGTAAACGCCATTAGACTGCCAATACCATGGACAATCAAATGGCTATCTTCGATTTTTGATTATCGTTCCGCATTTTCCAAAATCTTGAACTGAATCTTGGCAATTTCTCGTGACTACTTAACGACCATGATACATGCATTTCTTAAATTGAACCTTTTGAACCAAACTCGTACACATATGATAAAATGAATGTCAGCATCGTGTTCTACGCCCAAAATTACCCATAAAACATGGCTCCGAATATCAGTTTTGATTTTCGGAGATATGAGCCTACCTGGTTAACCTGACCTTGACCCTGACCTATGCTTGACTGACCCCTACATGGATCTGACACTCTTGTTGGCCTTGTATGATGGCTTGTGCACCGTTTTGACAGAGTTTATGACAAGAGGCGCCCATTGCGAGGTTATGAAGTCTATGCTACTGGAAGCCCGATTTCAGGTGTTTGGCCTGACCTTGACCCGACCTGTGACCTCAAAATTCAACTTTGATAACGGCGGGTGGCGAAATACCCCAGCAACTGCCGGGTTAACATTTTACCGTAGTCAATATTTACAATTATCAATAATGCAAAACATAGACCACTATATATCTACATATATAGTGGTGTATGTGTAAAACCATGTTTCATTACGTTTTGGACATCTTACACCACAACAGGGGCGTAACCACGCTAGAAAAATTGGTGCAGACAAACTCATAGGGGGCGCCATCCTTCAAGGGGGCGCCAACCTTCGAGGGGGCGCCATCGCCTATGAGAGAAATGGGGTGCGAAAGAGGGGCGCCTTCATGTGGAAGCGGGCAGTGACGTAGCCACTAGCTAGCCAGGGGGACCAGGGTGAACGTTTCCCCCTTCCAGTTCAGGGGGCCGCGGACCCGAGGTGCCCTGAGACGCCAATTGACCGCTGATGGTCCACGCTGGCCATATTTCAACTCAGAAGGGCCCCACAGGGCTCGCAAGAGCACCTCACGCCTCATTCATGGGCGTAGCCAAGTTTATCTCCAAAAGGGACCCACACCGACTTCTAATGGCCCCTTGCCGGCCTCTGAGCCAGGGTCCCTTATCGGACTCTGAGGACCCTTGCCGGCCAATTAGGGACCAGCAGCTCTACCCTCTAAGGACCCCACACCCGCCAGTGATGGCCTCACAGCAGTTTCTCTGAGGGCCCAATAACGGTGACTGTGAGGGCCTTTACCGGCGTCTCTAAAGGCCCACACCGACGTCTCTGAGGGTCCCATGGTCCACACACCCAACTCTGAGGGCGTACAGTAGGTCTACAAAATAATTCCCCGCCGTAAGCGGGTCACCTGTGGGCAGTAAGCGCCGGAACGCTACTCAGGAGCCACCTGCTGCATACGGAGAGGACTTATTTTGTAGACCTACTGTACACCAGTGTCTCTCAAGAGGCCCTACATCAGCAATTCTGAGGGCCCCACGCTGGTGACTCTCAAGGTCTCAGCGGGTTCTGAGAGTACTATGCTGGTGTCCAGGGACCCTACAGGGCTCCTGGAGGCACCGCCGACCTTGTTGGCATATGAATGGTCTACAACAGCAGTTCTAAAGGCCCCACATACGCATGTGATGGCCCTTAACCCTCGCCCTGGCAGGGCATTTTTCATAACACGGCCTGGCAGGGGGGGGGGGTGATGCGACCCCCCCTCGCGATTGGCTCCTATGGCACCTAGAAACACCAAATTTAGTAGGTAGGTGGGCCCCCAGGAGTTCTCGCCCCTGTGCAAATTTGGTTGCTCTAGGTCAATATTTAGGGGGGTTTTGGGGGGGTATAATTGTAAAAATTTCGCTAAAAACAGGTCAAAAGTTTTTCGCTTATAACTTTTGATCTAATTAAGATAGAGAAAAAAGAAAAGCACCAGTGAACTCAGCACGTCAAGGCGCGTTGAATGATATACCTTTTTGCTTGCTCTAGTGTACTTAAAGTTTTTCTTAATTTTTAAGTAAATTTAAATTAACCCTCGCCGGACCTATTGGTTTTCTACATACGCGCTGGCCGAGGGGGGGGGGGGGGGGGCGGGTACGACCCCCCTCGCCGTTTCGCCCCTGGTGGAGCTAGCGCGTCGCGGAAAAAACGAGCGTATGCGCCGTTACGAGACGCAGAGATTGGTACCCGATTTTATGGTCATAGGTCAACCGGTGACCTCTGAGGTCAGGTCAAGTGCCCCAAGGTACGGTTCAGTTTTTGGTGAATAACTTCGCAAAAAACGTCCGCAGAGCCGCGATTTTGGCAGAATCGTGCTTGCCTCGCTCAGGCGCGTCGAATGGTATACTTTTTGTTCGGGTCAGGTCAACTTGGGGTGTTGACCTCAGGTCAAGGTCAGGTCAGCACCCCCAGGTCACGAAGCTGGTCGAAAGAGGTCATGCCGCATATCATTCGATTCGGCAGGTCTTCCTGAGTTCATTGGTGGCTTCCCCGACTCGCTAGCTTAATTTGATCAAGAGTTATTGACGAAAAACTAATATGACCTTGATGACGTCATAAATGATGTCACGCAAGGTCAACATTGTAAAAGTGACGCCTCTAACCTCGCAAGGAGTGCATCAAATCATGATTCTGTGTGCTTGAGATAGTTGGAGATCGTTCCCGGCGCCAAAATAGCAGTTTTCATTTTTCCCCATTGACTTATAATGATGAGGTCTCGAAAATGACCTGACCTCAATGACCTTTAGGAAAAATCCGAGTGATACAAGTTGTGAGACTCATAATGGATACTAGATCCTGCAAGTTTTATTTCCCTGTGACATCTCCTCTGGCAGTGAGGGCGTTGCGAAGTTGCGACATCTGAAGACCGTGCAGAGGTTCACTTATGACGTCATAGGTCAGTGACCTGACCTGACCCAAAAATGCAGTTGGTGTCAAAAGATTTGGCTTGAATCAAAGGTCAGGTATGCCAGGTTTCAGCTCTCTATCGCCAGCGTGTTCGGAGCTATCGCGAAAAAAAACCCTATGGGGGGGCGCCACCCGCCCCCCCCCCTCGGCCGGCGAGGGTTAATTGATTAACACGCGCAGTGGAAGGGGGGGGGGCGGATTTCGCCCACCCCTCCTGTTTTTCGCCAATAACTCGCGCCGCAAGCATAATATCAATGTGAAATTTCGGCTACCTGTCCAGAATTGAATTGCGGATCTTCTCGTGCAAGAAGTAAGAAAATCGGTTAACAACTTTTCTAGTAATAGCGGTGTAAAGTCAAACATCCTGCCGCCGCGGCGGCGCGGCGGCGCGGCGGCCGGCGCTAGCCGTTACGCGCCGCCTGAATTGTAGACTGTGCCGGGGCGGGACGGTTCCGTCTTTACATCGCGCTCCTTACCGCTGATAATATTAGATTCGCGTCAAATTCGGTAAGAAGACTGAGAAATGTACAGGCAATCATATGGTCAAAGAATTTTGAAAATCGGCCGGTAACAACTTGAGTTATGAGTGTGTAAACACAAAATTGTTATTGCCGCGTTTCCCGCGTCGGCCGATGCCGCTTCAGCCGGCGACATCTTACCCTTAGCAAGCTTCTAACTGCCATATTTATTGTTGGATTATCTAGAAATTCACCATACATACTCACAAATGTTTGCTCTTTCGTATAGTGAAAGTTTAAAAAAATCGGCCGGTAACTTTTTGAGTTATCGGCGTGTAAACGCAAAAAAGTCGCTAATATGGCAGATTTGACCACATTTGACCTCATTTGACCTTGAAGATATTGACCTAGGGTCATGAAATTCACACACAACAGAGTTCTCCATGGCCCCCACCTACCCTCCAAATTTCGTCTTTCTAGCTCCAGTGGGAGCTGAGATCTTAGGGGGGGGGCGACATCCGCCCCCCCCTTCCACTGGGCGTAGTACTCGCAACCCTTCCACTGCGCGTGTTAACCTTCCAGGCGGGGAAGGCATTTTTTTGCCCCCCCCCCCCCTTTAGTTTTTTCAATATATCTCGAGAACCGCTGCGCCGATCGTCACCAAACTTTCAGTACCCTCCCGGGAGCAGCTAGCGTACATGGTGACAAAAAAATCCCAAAGGCTATGATAGGTTGGCCGCTAATGACGTCAGAGTGACGTCATTTTTGCCATTTTCGACCCAAAAAAAGGTTTCGCGGGAAGAGCTGTCAGGCCAACAGCTTTAGAGATACAGAAAAAATGTTTCAGACATAAAAGGTGTGGAATCAAGGGGGCTACAAAACTGCTATTTCGGTTATTCGAATTTTTTGGATTTTGACCCCCGAAAATAAAAAAAGAAGATTTTTTGAATAGAATAGCCAAATAATCCAAAACGTTTTTTGAATTTCGAAAAAAAAAAAACGGAATATATGTGATAGTCCCTACCGCTTTCTATCTACATACCAAATTTGAGATCGATACCTCTTTTTTTGGCCAAGTTATAGCGAAAAAATGTTCAAAATTGATGACGTCAAATTTTCAAACTCAATTTTTAGCAATTCTAGACATCATCTCTTCAAGTGTGGAAGGTCAACTACAAGAACTGCCTCAACGATTCCTTTTGGCATTTTACCTTATCCACCTGATGATATGTCATCTGACATTTGTCAACTAATTCTAACGAATTTTATGGGCGCCTAACAGTAAGTTACCTTACGAGTGTAAGTAAGATGATAAGATCACAGAGCTTTGCAATATGTCGATATAACTATTAACTGTAGCACAGATAACAGTACCTACTATTGTCATCACTCATCTGTGACTGTAGCTATCATATCATCCATTTTTTCAGTTAGTGATGGCTGAGTCATGTGTGAACGATTCGAAGTAATTCATGAAACCAAACATTTCTTTGACAAATGTGAAATAGCGAAACAGACTAGGCTTGCCCTTTAATTTGTTAGACACAAGAATATTGTCAGATAATGAGACAAACCCAGACCTACGAGGGTATTCTGGCGCCTCGGACGCGACGGAATATGCGCACCATTCAAGTGGCCGGTGGGCTTTGTGGTTTGGTGAGCCGACCGCACTCGGCGCTGCCGAAGGTCGATGAGCATATGGTTATGAGAAGAGTTACTGCGGGCTCACCCGACACCGGCCAGGGAGGAGGGGGGAGGGGGGGATAGCCAAGTGAGGAAGCGGCGGACGCTCCGCGGCCGGCCAGGTAAGCTGCTCGCTGCGCGGAACCCGGCGCCGCCGGCAGCGGGGCCGGTTGATGACGTGCGCGACGCGACTGGTATAAGAGCGGCGGCGCCGCCGGTTACCGACACTCAGCTACCTGGCAGCACACACACACACACACCGCCAAACCCCTCTAATCCGACAGGTGAGTCGCGCTCAGTTCAGCAGCAGCAGCGCACCGGCGCGACGGGGCGATTATAAACGCACTCCGTGTAGCAGCATGACAGAAATAAAACTAGCAGTTCAATCGACTGTTACAGGTACAGAAGTTCCATTTACCTAGCAGATACACTTTCCTGGTTCCTTCTGTAAGTAAGATAGGTAATTTCGCTCCATGATCGATGATTGTGGTCCTTGTTGCGATTTCATTAAACATACCATTTTTGACTTTTTGTTGTTTGTATTATCATTGCATAGTGCGACACGATTGAAGATGATGGAGTAGAGAAAGCTAAGTGAACAGAACCATGCCAAATGAGTGCAATGCAATTTTGCAGGATTTGATGTAACGATCTCTGCGCGTGACTGTTTGGAGCTGGAATATCCAGGCATGCAGCATTGCTTCGGCCAGCCGGTGACGTGTTTGTTTCCGCCTTTGTTCCAGAATGTTCCGCTCCGGTCTGGTGCTGCTGGCGGTGACGGCCTGCGCCGTGGCGCGGCCGCAGCAGCGGCTGACGCCCGTCGCGTTCCCGGTGCCCCAGTCGTCGGGCCAGTCGACCAGCGGCGTGGTCAAGGGCGAGACCTTCGTCCCTGGCGGCTCCTCGGTCCTCACTCAGCAGCAGGCGGGCACCGGCGGCCAGGCGGCCAACGGCGGCTTCAACCAGGGCTCAGCCGGCGCCTCCACCACCGGCTTCAGCAACCCGTTCGCGCAGGGCAGCAACTCGCAGACGAGCGCCGTCTCCAACCAAGGCTCTAACCCGGTGCTGACCGGCTTCCCCTTCCCCTCGTTCCCCGGGTTCGGCACGGCCACCGGTAACGCCGGCAGCCAGCTGACGCAGGGCAAGACCACCGGACCGGACGGCAGCCAGACCACCATCACGCAGCTGGGCTCCTCGGCGGGCGGCAGCGCCACCGACGGCGGCGTCAGCACCAACCAGGCCTCTGGCAGCGTCACCGACGTCAACACGCCGTTCGGCTCCCAGACCAGCAGCAACGTGAACGCCGAGTCCAACCAGAGCACCGGCCGGTAGGCCGCCGCCTGGTCTGGTCTGGCCTGGTCTGGCACGCCTCAGCTATGGAGCGACTCCGGACGCCGCGGAAGGGCGTCACAAAGACGCAGGGCAGGGCGAGCCGGTAACCTCTTGCTGACCTGTTCCTCTGCCAAGTCAACATCGCTGTTTGAAACGAGCCAGTGGGCCCAACTGCATTCATAAACTATTGTTATTGTCTGAGATTATTTCATGTTTGTAACATTGCCAGCTTTGACGGGCCGTGAGCTTTATTGTTTCGATTGATTCAATGACTATGGGAAATATGTGAATAAAGACAAGAATGTGAAATAAACACATAGTAAAATCAATCGATTTGGGTTCTGGACAAAGTGACATTGGCATTTGGCAGTCCGAGTTAACCCGCGCCCGGCTGGGGGTCCTGGATTTCCACGCCTTGCTGGGGAGGGGGGGTGTTTGAACACCCCCCTTGTAACTCGGCTCCTGGGCCACGTAGCGATACGCGGAAGGCGGCGTTCGAAAGAGCGTCAAAAATAATGACGAAATCACTTCGGTCAATTTTTTGGTCAGGTCAAAGGTCAGGTCACCAGAGGTCATTGAAGGCAAAATTTCGCCGATTTCCAGGTCGAATGTCGAAAATTTCCAAGAAGCCAACGCATAACTCGAGAACCAATAGAGCTACAGCGCCGCAGTAAAGCGCATTCGATAGCCCTATCAAAGCCCTTTCTGGGTAATTCTCTCAGATTTGACCTAACGTCAACGGTTTTGGCTACAGGGGGCAAAAACTGCAAAAATAGCCGATTTTTTTTTGGAAACAGTTTTTCTGCAATAACTTTTGACCCAAGCCTTGTACGAGCTTACTTTTACCGGCATTGTGTTCCTCTCGTCAAGACGCATCGAATGAACTATAAGTTGACCTTGAAAGGTCAACTTGAAAATTTGACCTCAGGTCAAGGTCATGACCTGACCGGAAAGGGTCATGTTGCATATCAGTCGATCCGTATCGTCGAGCTGAACACATCTAAGGCGTTTTCATCGCTCTAGCATGCCTCTATCAAAAGTTATTTGCGAAAAACTGTTAGATACCATTCGTGATCTAAGATGACCTCAGGGCATAAACAAGGGTCACGGACGCCATTTTCATGTTCAGTGTGTCTAAACCACTTGTAATTCGGTGTTTGAAAGTGTTTATAATGTCTTTTGTCCAAAAGAGGCGCATTTCAATTTTCTCCCATTGACTTATAATGGAGAGGTCGCAAAATTGACCTGACCTTAGGTCATCGATATCAAAATTCTGAGATATACATTTTGTACATGCTATTGTTCTTAGCAATCGCTGAAAGTTTCAAAGCGATCGGTCACTCGGTGTAGCTATGACAGACATTGAAACTTTTTATGAGGTGAGGTCACTTCAAGTGACCTGGTGACCTGACCTTGAATGACCTTGGTCTGAAATTTTCACAACATATGTAGAATTGATGTATGATAAGGTGTACCAAAAACGGCGGCGCTCCGCGCCGCCGTTTTTGAGATATTCGCGAAAAACCACAAGGGGGAGGGGGTGTTCGAACACTCCCCCCCCAGCAGGGCGCGGGTTAACCCGCGCCCCGCTGGGCTATTCAGCCATACGCGCCCTGCTGGGGGGGGGGGGGCAGATTCTGCCCCCCTGTCTAACTTCCGAACCGATGGTCGTAGAAAGACGGGGAAAACGGCAATCGAAAGCTCTCAACAAGGCGGATCTTAAGAGCCCATTTTTTTTTTGCTTAAGTAGGTCAGAGGTCAGGTCAAGGTCAGGTCAAGGGTACAAAATGCAAGTTTCCACAGTATCGGCCTTGCACCGTAGTTGCCGCAGAATGGACTGAGACTGATTGCCCAAAACGTGTTCTTAGACTACCAAGACAATATTCGTTGCATACAATGTCATTCAAAGGTCAAGGTCAAGGTCAGGTCAGGCCAGGTCAGGTCACCAAAAACAAAATATAGAAAAGGGCATGTGCGACACATGTTTTATGGGTCATTTTACTCATAGAATTCAATAAGCACACTCAATAAGTGATATGGACCACCTCTGGATGAATTTCAGGTCGAGGTCAGGTCAAGGTCAGGTCAAGTGAGGTCAAATTTTGAAGTTGGTTGTTAAGGCCCAAAAAGGTGTCTATCTGATGCAGTTTTTCACGGCGAATCGAATGGTGCTATTTTTGTTTCCGTACGAGGTCTAGAACTTCCAAAAAAGTCATTTTTCAAAATTTTGTGTGTCGTGACGTCATAAAATTTGGAATAACTCCCACGTTTTTGAACCGATTCTTCTAAAAATTGGTATGTAGGTGCACATATACCACTTCTCTGACATATATCCCGGTTTTTTCGATACACTCAAAATTTTGGATTTTATAATTATTTTTCCAAAAAAGTCAGTTTTTTTTAAAAAATTGGGCCAAAATTCTAAATTTTCAAAAAACCAAGATAGCCATTTGATAGACAAAGTAGAATCACGTATAACCTTTTTTGTTACGTCTTTATTCCTTTAAAACTGAAGATGTTAGCGGCGTTTGAAATTTTGCCGTTTTTGAGGCGAAAATGGCGAACATGACGTCACTAAAACGTCAATTTCTCAAAAATTTTCCGACGGATTTCGCTCAAATATTCAGGGAACGTGTCAAATTGAGGTATGATAAGGTACCGTAAGTTTGACGTCGCTGGCGTAACGCATTTAGAAGTTATTGGCGAAAAACGGGAGGGAGGCAGATTCTGCCCCCCCCCCCCCCAGCGGGGCGCGGGTTAATAAGGAGCCGGCAAATGCACCAAATCGTAATGGGTGGCTAAAAATAGCTTAATCTCTCCAGTGGTCAAACCAGTGATAAGAATCGCAAAAACAAAATCACCATTGTGGGCGTGCCAATGATAAATACCTTGTAACTCTTCCGCTGACCACATCCTTGATTACTTTGCCGTATTCAGGAATGCTATTGACACGGGATCAGATGTACATACACTGCAGGGCATAATGGTGAAAAACACCATTTTATCGCTTAGCACAGACCGCAGCATATTCATTACAACGTTGGTAGAAATGTGGTGACGAGCATACGAGTACACAAAAGGCATGCATTTGCGACACACGGGGCATTGCACTTTTTGTGAGGATGTAGGTTGGAGGACTTTTTCTACTTTTCTTTTCTTTCTATTCAACCATTGCAAAACTGGGGGTTTTGCCTTATTTTCGCCTTTGGTGCATCACGTGATCAGTTGTAGTGATGTCAATTACGGTAAATCTGAATACCGATACCAAACCAAATACCAACCATTAACCCATGGGGAAATACCGAAACCAAACCAAATTGGAAAAATGAGGGAAATACCAACTTTATACCGATTTCTTAGCCTTTTATACATTATTGAGGGTTCATGATACCAACAAAATACCAAACACGTGACGATTGAAATACCAAATACCAAGTTGGTATCGGTTTGGATATCGGTATACCAAAAAGTTGGTATCCGATTGACATCTCTAATCAGTTGTCACTCTCATAAAGGTGTTGGATAAACGCCCCTGTTCCAGTGATTGAGTGCTTTTCGTATAAGTTACCTTTTTTGGGCTCATATCAAACTTTTTAGGCGTCACATTTTTTTGCCATTTTTATTATGGGAAAACCCATAGACTTATTAGCGACCCTCCCCGGTCGCTAATCGGGTCGAGTTCGCTATTTGCGTTTTTTTGCAATGGTTTGCAAAAATGCTCACTACAAATAAATTGGTGGAATTTTGGGGCAGAAAATGATTAGAATTTAATAGAAAAATGAACGATCTGTCCGAAAATCAAGCCAGTAATGCAGTGGCACCCATAGAACGTGAGCAACGACGGTTCAAATTAACCCGCGAGTTGCTGGGGGGGGGGGCGTTAAACGCCCCCACTTTTTTCGCCGCGCTATACATAAAAACGGCGCGCCACAGGCGCGCCAAAATTTGGGTACCTGTAGGGAATTGATTGAAGTTGTTGACAAGGTTTCAAAAAAATCGGTCGGAAATTTTTTTTGAGATATCGAGGTTTTAGTGACGTCATGATTTCTGAGTTTTCGACCAAAAACGGCACATGTAAAAAAAATCATATAAAATCACAGAATAGACAAACAGACATGCCGTAAACGCCATTAGACTGCCAATACCATGAATAATGAAATAACTAGGTATCTTCGATTATTGATAATCGTTCCGCATTTTCCAAAATCTTGAACTGAATCTTGGCAATTTCTCGTGACTACTTCACGACCATGACACATGCATTTCTTAAATTGAACTTTTTGAACCAAACACGTACACATATAATAAAATGAATGTCACCATCGTGTTTTACGCCCAAAACTACCCGTAAAACATGTGTAACAGGCTGCCAATATCAGTTTTGATTTTCGGGGATATGTGCCTACCCGGTTGACCTGACCTTGACCCTGACCTATGCTTGACTGACCCCTACATGGAGCTGACACTATTTTAGGCCTTATATGAAGGATTGTGCACCGTTTTGACAGAGTTTATGACGAGAGGCGCCCATTGCGAAGTCCTGAAGTCCATGCTTCTGATAGCCCGATTTCAGGTGTTTGACCTGACCTTGACCCGACCTGTGACCTCAAAATTCAACTTTAACCCGCGCCCCACTGGGGTCTGCGTATAACACGCCCTACTGGGGGGGGGCTATTCATAGCCCCCCTCCTAACTCCGAAACTACTGGGCCGATCGTCAAAATTCAAACGGCGTCTGATAGCCCTGGAAAAACTGTCGAAGTAAACCTAATTTCATTGAGCTCGAGGTCACCGATGACGTCACAGGTCAGGTGAAAGTTAAAATTATTAGCATTTTGGCTTGTTCACATTTTGGGCTCTGGCCGCCGTCTTACAAGTCAGATCAGGCTCATTTTTGGTTCACACACTCGTGAACAGATGCTCTAGATACCCTGAGGGTACCAAACTTGTACTTTGATTTTCAGGTCAAGGTCAGGTCATCACAGATCACGAAAATATTATATCATGCGTCGGTCACGTGACACATGTTTTATGGTCCATTTAGGCCAAACATTTCGAATTTGATGTCGTCTGTGTCATTCGAGGTCATTTTGAGTCGAATTTAGCTAAGGTCAGGTCACTTTCAGGTCAAAAAAGGTCAAATTTTGAAGTTATAATTTTGCAACAGAAAAGGTGTCTATTGGATGCAGTTTAAGCTCAGGAACACGATGGTGCTATTTATATTGGTGTACGATGTCAAATACGTACTGAAAAATTGATTTCAAAAATTAATAATTGTGAATTTTTTTGCAATAATGCGTATAACTTGGCCATTTTTGAAGACATCTAGG